GTTGACCCGCCCGTCAAAACCTAAAGTATTAGTGTATTTCTGTTATTGTTTATTTATTTATAGCTTTCCGTCAGCGGATTCGCTCGCATGATGCTATACCTATTACACATTAAAATTAAAAACTATCCTTTTGAATCACCCTGTCTATTGATTTCTTATATTTTCAAGCACTATCCATAAATGAATTAACTTTCAAATGGTGTTATCGCGTACAGGTTCCCTTTACAGGTTATGTTTTCAAATAAGACTAAGGTATTCATTGTCTTTTTGATTAAGAGTATAGCTACCTTCAAAACAATACTATTGAACACATTCACAATACAAAAAAATATATATATATTTTACTGAAACGTTTACATTTATTAAATTATCTATTCAAAAAACCTCGCATCTTAATTCGTTAAGTAGTTTTAAAGATCTAAGCATCCCTAGCATACAGAGCTCGATGGCACAGTGGTTAGCGCGCTCAGGCTGTCTGCGGCTCCTCTGTGTTTCGGAAGGCACGTTAAGCCGTTGGCCCCAGCTATACAATACCCATCAAGCCACCCTAGGCCCGGGTGGAGGCTCATGGCCTATTCTCCCAATTCAATTTGAAGCCTGATACATGATGGTGATGATGAAGCATACATAGGGCCAGACAGATGGAAAGTGACTTTGTTTTCTACTTTGTATTAAAGACTGTATTTTATTTGATTTGTTAATTCAGGCGCTACAAAGTTCACCACATTAGCATCAAAACATTAGCCAGTTATATAGCATTCACTAAGGTGACATCACACTAAACAGGAGTTACTACTATTATTACGACTCTAATATAATAAAAAAATACTTATTATGCTTTTACCAGTCCAATTGTACCCAAAAATTTTACTATTTGTCGCGTGGTACAATTCATAAGAATTACGCCTAACAAAAATATAATTTATATACCACACATTGAATTTAACTAAATTGAAATTTAACTAAATCCCCCTAGTTCCTATATTCTACCAACAACCATCGGTTGTACTCGTAGCTACCTGAAAAATATAGAAAGTTTTTTATGTTACCGGTTACAAGTTACAAAAGGAAATTAATTTCATCCAAGGGTCAGTTAAACAGTACTTTAACAAGATCCCCAGTGATATATTTGTATAGCCAATAGGTAATTTTCAAAGTCGTATTAAAAGTTTTAAAGTTAAAGAATATCTAAATATCAAAAAAGGCATGGTGTTAGGTATTCTAACTAAATCGTGAAAAATAACTCACCTATATTTTATTCATCTACTTCTCTGTCTAAAATGTTTCTTTATTTTTTATTCAAAATAATATCTGTAATTCATATAAGTATATAATATACATTTATTATATCTTGTGCGAGCTGTTGTGCGACTGAAGAAACTTCCACGGTTTACAGATAACATCTCACGTGGTAACTGTTATATCTCTATCGATTATAGTTCCATCACAGTAAACAAATGTGGTTCCTTACTGTTGCGAGCTATTGTAGACTATGTTTTTAAATATTTGAAAGTTTTCTTTAAAATTATTTACAATAAACATTTTTTTGACACGTTCAAATTATCTTCGAATAAGTTATTACTGAATTGTCTGGTCAAAAATATGGTAAAATGTGTAAAAACAACAATGAAATACTATTTGTACTGTTAATTTATTAAAACAATAGGTATTTAATATAAAAATGTCTAGTGTCTTAAATAGTATCTAACCTAGTGTCTTAAATAGCATTAAAAAAATTTTACAGACAAGGCACTATCGCCTGTAGGTATTCTCATTAATAGTTTCACGAATTCACAAGATTGTATTTCACGAAAACTAATACGTAAAAGTCACTTCAATTTATTAATCGAACAATTTCAACAATCACTATTCTAATGATACAACTGAAATATGAATGAAACGCCAACTGAAAATACCTTTAAAGGTTTAGAGAGAGAACAGAATACGGCGATAACAGTGACTCGAGTGTTTCGTAAATAGAAAGTACTTTATATCTGTTCTATAACATCGATAGAAAGCGATATTTTATTGAGACACAACAAACTGAGTACGATACATATGATGAAAAGTGGCTATTACATTTCAATAATAGAAGTCGAAACTACTCTCAGCAACCATTAATATTTTGCAGAGTGCTAAAAAGCCTCTACACTGGGAACGGAGACTGTTCCAGTTTTTAATTGTAAGGTAAGTACAAGATTTTCCTAATTTCTTAGTATGAGATGGTATAGTATAAACAGTCTAGGTGGCAACAAATACCTCTATCAATGTAATCTTGCGATATTGTTATAAATATACCTAAAATTACATTTTGAGGTTAAGTTTCACTCGATTTTTTCTTTAATTTCTTATATAATAAATATTTTAGTCGAATAAATTAAGTTGAATCGGCACACTCCCGATTCGGCTAAATTATAATACTGACATGTAATTTAAGCCCCTATAAGCCCCTCAGTTTCGGTGCTCATTATTATTTAGTCTAAAACCAAAATGGCAACCGTGACTCGCGAGTGTGATATAAGTTTAATTTATTTATAAAAAAAACGGTGTAAATTTCATTCGCATTTTGCTACAATCTCACACTTATTTGTTGTCAAAAGATTATGCAATTTTTTTTTGTTAACAGTCTAATTTTTTTTCAAATTCAATGTAATGTCAACTTTATAATAATAAAGAACTTCAAACATCTAAATATCCATTGTGTGTGTATTAAGCCTACAACTATTTAAAATTGATAAAATAGTTTACTGATAATATTAAATCCAAAACAATATAAATAATAATTAAATGATAGTAGTTTTATAAAAATAAACCACCCATCTCCTTTACATTAACCCACCGTCTACCACGGTAGACAACGGTAAAATGCGTGAGTTTCGGCAATTCGGTCGTGATTTACCGTCGCCGTGGTAGGGAGGGGCGAATAAATCATAACTTATATTTAACCGCGCCGACTTGACGCTGCGATTGTTTACAGTTTTCATAAACTTCATTGCGATTCGATTTCGATTCCGATCTTATCATTATAATATGCTATAACTGTCTGTCTGTATCTTCACGCTACGGGGTAGACAGGGAGAACAGCTGTGTTAAACGCAGCCTCGAATTCGACTTCGACACGACAGTGCTGTTGTAAACTTGTGAAGTAGTTTTATATGATTGAACCTCTATGCTGCGACAGGGCTGCGCTCAGCGTCAGGTTTGAGGTTGTTTTGATAACAGATTAGCTATGCTGAGCCCATATTTACAATCCTTTTATACATGCTCGCTAGTTTTTGTGATTTGATGATTTAAATAGGTACACATTCGCTCGAAAAAATTTAGGTTACATTGAATAAAATATTGTAATTAGTAATTATAAAGATAATATATTTATATTGCCTACTGTATGCAATGTTAAAACTCAAAAGAATTTACAAATAAACTCATTAAAAATGTTAAGACCTGTAAGTAGAACAGGTTAAACAAACTCACCAACTCTTACAGAAGTGTAAATATGTAATTGTCTTAATTACCTAAGATAGTACCTCTAAGGACTTTAATAAGTATCGATATTTAGCTTTAGACTACACTTTCTGATTCCATACTTGCTTAAATTTCAAAATAAAATACCGAATAATATAAAATGAATTATATAACCCAAAATTCAACCAAATTAAAAATATGGTGTCCTTTTTGTTATAAAATGTTAAAATCTAGCTACACTCAACACACATTTAACTTTTAATTAAAGTAATAAAACTTTAATTGCTTTGCGACATTTTATTAAGCCATTTCATTTGTGCATCATCAAATTTTACTTTTATATTCTTGAAAAGTTATCAGATGGTTGATCTGCTTAAATAATTATAGTTATATTTAAAAAAGCATTGACATTACTTATCTAACTGATACCCAGAGTGCCAGGGACATTTCGTTCAGAATATTTTTCGGTATAGCTTTATGAATGAAAAATTGGTCAAATTGACAATTAAAACAAATTTCATCTTTATTGAAAGTTTTAATATTTGTTAAAATATTTCTTGCCTAAACATTGATAAAAATACATTCACAAGGTTAAGTCCTGAGTAGCTCAGTGGTTGAAGTAGAAAGGTCATGGATTTGAGTCCCATCGCAGAGTACCAGGGACAAAAAGGATTTCTAAGCATTTATCATTAAGTAAAAAAAACTTATAGTAGGGAAATATGTATTTGTTGAATAAACGGTCGCCGTAGGAGTATTGAATACAATAAACTATTGATTACACTCTAAACGATTACAAGTATAAATTAATTAATCTTGTAAAAATATAATAATTAGCAGTTTTACTTGCCCGAGTTTTTTTTTACAAATTTATGTAAGACAAATATCAAAATTGCACTGTGAATGCAAAATAGCATTAAAATATAACAATACATACTTATTGTTATAAGATTTATCATTCAATATCTATTACATTGTTTTGTCTAAAAGGTTACTTAAAAAAGGTAAAATGAATATTAAAACTGTTATAATTTCACATTGTTTTTGTATTGAAACTCACTTGAGTATCGTTGCCCTATACACATACGAATTGTTGTTGAATTAACAAAATTCAAAAGCGAATTATCCTTTTGTCTGTTTCTGACGGCGGCCGAGGGGAAAATGTGGAAACTCGCCCCCGTGGCGGCCATCTTGTGACGTCATCGGCAAGCACGAGGGACGTATTGAGGCGGCATGCACCTAAATATAACGAAAATGAATACTTGTATGTTTAGTCGTGTTCCAATTTGAAATTTCAAGGAGAATTTGTGAAGATTTTCCAATTAACAGAAGCTAAGGTTGTTTTGGCTTTTATTAATGATATTATAAAAGAAAATTAAAATTATATAAATTCAAATTGTCTTTGGAAAATCATCAGTTATATTCACTAAAATAACAAATTAAAAGAAAATAATACGGCGTTTTTGTAAACGTAGACACTTCTACTTATTTTTGTAGCGAACCATTATCGCAAAACAGACTTTTTAAGAAATGTCAAAATGTCTCACACCGTTAACGTCGGACCGACAACTGGCATTCCGGGGTATCAGAAGCTATCCGACTTAAAACAAAAGACGACACACAAAAAGTGCAAACAGAACAGCGCAATTGTTAGTATAGAAAAATAAAAACACACGTCACCCAGTGCGTCCCAGTGTACGCTTTGAAGACGCCGGCTGATCGCGATTGGCCATTTGCTCATCGAGGGCGGTGCTTGTTCTCGCCCCTCCCATCGCCGTTAGGGGCATATGGAGTTGAGCGAGCAAACCACATTGGGCGCTCGTCGTAGGCGCCACGCGTATAACACACGTATTATAACCTCAAAAGCACGTGAACATCAAAAGAGCCGGTGTCACAAGTGACAGTAAAGTGTAGAGTGAAAAACTAGATAACAATAAACAAAAGTGAATGTAAAGTGCGATTAAGAATGAAGGTTTTGTTAGGATTCTTGAAGTAGGGGCTGAATGTGGTCGGAGCGGTGGTTATTGATTGCACGAGGTGACCGCCAGTGGTGCTGCTAAACTGAAAGTGTGTTATGTAAAGACTTGGACGAAGTAAACAAATGGTCAAGTGTTAGTTTTAGTACTTAAGAAGTGCTTTTCGAATTCTTCCAATAAGAAAATCCTTGCGTTTACAAGCTCAAATAATCTTCCAACGATTCAATTAATCATATTTCTTAAAACAAATAATATTCAATTAACTTCCGAACTATAACCATTATCAAAAACATTTCATTCCATAAATTACCAATTGCAAAATTCAACTATCGTACATTAATTTAAAGTTGTGAATTATAATTTAAAACCTAGTTAGAAACGAACACAATAGTTAAATTTAGATAAAATAATAGATAACCAAAGAATGTATATTAATTTCTATGTTAAATAAAAAATGTAAATCAGTGATGCTCAAACTAGTAAATTTGATGTCAGAGTAATAAAAGAAATACAATTTATTTACAAGCGTATAGTTTATGAAGAAAAAAGTGGTTCAAATCAAAATCGGTTCTATTCCAAATTAATAATAGTGTTTCTTTTTTTGCATGAAAAATATTGCAAATAATCTTGTAAATTAAAATTTTATAGCCGCATTTTGCCGAATGTTGATTACAAATATCGAAATCAAGTGTTTGTCACAATCCCTGCTCGTAGCCCCCCGTGACTGGAAGTAAATATAAAATATTTTGCAGAAACTAATAGACTAATAGACAAAACGTGTACTAGACTAACCTTTAAGGCAGTGATTGCGAAATATATTCTGTTATGAAGGTAAAAACTGAAATCTGAAACTGCTACCATTGGTACATAATTCAAAAGCCAATGATTCTCAAACCTAACCTGAGCTCAAGGTGACAGTGGTTAACCTATTAAAAGTAACGTTACAAAAGCTGCAGACCATTTGAAAGTCAGTGATTCTAAAACCTCGAGCCGGTGCGAAACAGAAAGTACGATCAAACTCAAAACACATTAGTTTTTAAAGATCGCAATCGCAAAGTCGCAGCTCCGAATAGCCGACTTGATAGTCAGTGATTCTCAAAGCTTACTACCGTTCAAAACGACGCTGGAACAAGCGGCTGTGTTCAATGATACCCTGGAGCCCATAGCATCGGGGGCCAAGATTTCGGCCCCTCCGAGGCTGTGCGGCGGCTGGGAGCAGGCTGGCTACGCGCTCGATGGTTGCGTGGACACGGCCCTGCTCCGGCCGCCGCAGCCGCATTCCAGTCAGCTTGGTACTGTCTACGCTACGAAAAGGAGACGACGAAATGGAAAAAGGTAGGTAAATTATCGCCTATTTTTTTGGTTTAGAAAACTCGCTAGTATAATAACGACACTTAGCGAGTGATAAAATTATATGGGACTCTTCTCCGATGAGCCCCCGGAAGCTTACTCAACAAAACTCCTACATACACGTGAATAACAACTTAAAATACATATATAGATGTTTGAAAGGATAAATTAGAGAAAAAAGATAATCTACCTTAAACATGTCAAGGCAAGGATTGAAAATATTCCATACCGATATTGAGTTATGGGTACACATAGAGTCAACGTAATTTGCTGATACCAAATACATATGTATGTAGGTGTATATCATTATCTTTTCAACCATGATCTGCTTAAGGTAGATTGTGCATGTGACATATGTCACTCACTCACTTTTGCAATAATACATCTGTATTATAGCAAAAGTGAGTTGTTTGGAAATAGGTCAGCGTGTCATAAAAGTTATTTACTCTACATTCAAGTTCAGTCACAAAATGGAGCGACTCATGTGCTAACATGGCGAGTGTTCCTAAATATTTCATTAAATGGCAAACTCACACATTGTTCACAGCATAGTTTAACATTTAATATCAATCTGATGTGATGCTCTTTTCTCTTAATATTTTTCTGTAATATTTTTATAAATGTTACTGTTATATATATATTTATATGTCGTGTCAAACTACTATTAAGAAATAATTTAGCATGGATCATTTTTTATCCATTGTAAACCTATAGGTTTAATTTGTGTCTTGTTAGTTGTCCTGTTTAAATAAATAAGTAGGTATTAAACGGTGTATAGTTAGTGCAAGGGTAGAGTATGTGTTTCTTTTCTCCACCATACCTTTGATAAGTCAACCGTTTTTATAATAACTTACATATCATTTGTTTTACTAAAAATATATTTTTTTACCTTTCTTTCTTTAGTTTTTAAATTATAAGATCATTTCACTTACAATAAAACCTGAACTCAATTCACGTACTACAAAAATGTTACACTTTTGTGGTAAGTAAAGCGAATGCACGAAGCATCTACACTCGTGATTTATGATGGTGCTTAAAATGCTTTAATGTAACATGAATAAGAATCAATTTCCATCCTGTTCTTAACTGATATTTTTTTTCACAAGATTCCCATAACGGAGTCCACTCTTGTTTATGGACGCATTTGGATTTAAAGTTTGAGTGTTGGTGTACTTATACGCCATAATCGAATATATCAATAGACTATTTGTTTATTTTTTAATATTTTTACATTTTTACTGTAAATACCCTTGCATATAGTTTTTGGTAATTGAACTTTAAGTTTATATTTCATAGTTTTCTTAACACAACCTTTTGTTCAACTTTTTTTTTATTAGGTAACAGGTAATTCAATATACCTTTAATACAAACCTCCGGACATGCATGGTTATTGTTATAAGGATATTATTTTCAGGGATAAAAGGCTGATTGGTTGATGGGGAATTATTGACAATATTGGGAACATACATATATTTAAACAAACAAATGCTTTAATTATAACAATTGTAAGATGTGTTTGTCATGTTCCAATTTAGGTATTGGATAAACATTTATTTTATTGATATGAAAATAATATCCCTAATTATTTAAGATTATCAAACGCAATGGAAAATATTCAAACAATACAACTTTAGTATATTAATTGAAATATCGGTTTTATTAAAAAAACCTACCTAAATATCTTTATGATCAAAACTGGTTCCTTATGGGAATTTTCGTATTCTCACTTCGTGGATATACAAACTGGTTTTTTTTTAATTATTTTAAGATCAACTATGAGGTTCAATAATCGTAACAAATCAATTTACAACAATCCGTGATTTCCGAATCATCAAGATTTAACACGACGAATCGACTTTTTCGGACACGAGTCTATTGTGTTTTGAATTTTGTTTTATAAGGGTTAGAGTTTAAAGTTTTATCGTCCATTAGTACGTTAAAATTTGGTCGTTTGTTAAGTTAAAGATTAATAATATCTGGATGTGCCCAAGTTTTTATTTAGTAAAAATTCCTATTTGTGTTTTAAAGTATTATTATGATATTAACCATTTAAAATGTAAAAAAACACATACTATAAATACTCACTTTATTAGTATTAGTGAGATAAGTTATAGAGAGTATACAAAAAAAATCTTTCGGCACACAATTTAATAGAGAATATTAAGAAACCTAATTTAGATGTTTACATTATTTTTTCTTATTAAAATATCACACCAACAGCGTAAGATACATCTGTTTCTCTATCAAGTATGTAAATTGTATTGTAATAAAGCATAATTCATGAGCATTTTAATGGATTTCCGAAGATAACAGAACAGCTCCATATTTAAATAAGAAATTAAATATTGTAGAGCTTTAATAATGTTGGCAACCAAATAATCCATTTGATATTTACATTATCATATGAATCGATTCACGCGAATGGCATTATGGTAGTCTAGTTGTCCGTATCTAGTAAAAAAGGATAGATTTTATTTGTAAAGTTTAATCTTTAATTTATGTGAATACAGAGTATGTATATTCGTCAATTCTTGCAACTGAAATTTAAAGTTGTAGTCTATCTATTATACTGAAATATTACGTATAAGTTAAGTGGCATACTATTATGATGATAATACATGGTCATCTGAGTTACTTCATCTTAAATGTAGGTAATATGGCGGAGGACTCAAGATGGCGGCCTAGTTATTTAGTCGGAGGATTAGTTGTATTCATCGTATTATTTACATGATATAGTGAATTTTCGATAAAACATTTTTTCTACAAAACACGTATAAAAATATAAAGAAATGTATATTTTGACGAATATTCGATTTATTTGACTTTTATGCTTACTTATTACTATAAATAATGTTTTACTTCATTTTAATATCTACCAATCATTTTCTTATTTTGTTCAGTTTGCGTAATTGACTTTGTGAGATCCATTATAAACTATTTTAAATAAAAACTGAAAATAAAAAGTAACAGTAAAAGAACGAATATACCGCATCCAGTAAAATGTAATCCGTAAAGTCAAAACCGTCCCAAACGACGCGTTCAGAAATTAGTGCCGGCCTATTATATTGATTCGATTACTAATTTATGAGGTGAATAATGACCGTGCATCGATTCTGAATCGATTGTTGCCGATTGTGACCGTGCACAGTTGATTGATAATAAATGTGTAACGGGTTTATGGTCACGTGTGATGTGAAATACGGTTTTGGATAGAATCATTAGGGACCTAATAGAGTTGGTTGATCAGTGTTCTGCCCTGCGAATCCGTAAAAATCTGAACCCGAATTCGAATTCATTCAGGTTCGAGTTCACTTCGAAAGCGACATCCGCTTAGCCTTGAACCGGTATTAATGTTTTGTGGCATAAGTGAATTGAGTTTCTAATTAAATAGGGATGGAATATCTCAGACGCATATAAACAATCAATCTAGTTTTGCATTTATGTACAAATAAAAGGAATTATTAGAACTTCTACACTAAATGACGTCTATTCTGATACATTTAGGGTTCGGATTTTTACGAAATCGCTCTGCTGAAGCCTTAAATGCCAACTTCAAACATGAACAACTATGATAATCCTAAAAAGTAGCCTTAAACTGTCGAACTAATATACCGAGTAAGTGTTATCACAGCATTGAGGTTTAGTGAAATCTTTTTTACCTTTGAAATAAGATTTATGAGCTCTCTTTATCCACATTCTATATATTGGAAAAGTCTTTTTACTTATATTGATTTCACTGGGAATATTACAACCTTAGCGGGGACCCGGGGCTATCCGACCACTGGGACCTGTGCAAGGTCACGTCAAAGTGTAGTCGGGTACCCGTTAAAATCCACTGCAAAACAAACTCTCCATCAGCAAAGTGATCGCCTCTCTAACTAAAGCGTTTTATTTATAATATCAATGAAGCTGTTGATATTCTTTTAAAATTATATATTTAATGAAACATTTTAGTTTATTTTTCTTTTCGAATAAAGCTATTGTTTGTGCAAACTTAATTATTTTAATTTAGTAAAGTACAACAATCAAAACCATTGATTAAAAATCTAAATAATACAACTAGAAAATTATAAAAGAATTTATGATTATATTATTTTTTACTTTTTATTAATAAAATCGTCAACGGAAGAAATAGGTGGTTACTCTTCAGGGGTTGAAATTCGGGAACTAGAACGTAGTTATCCGAAACGCCTATATCCCAGCAAAGAGGATGTTGCTCGGCTGATGGAGCTGAATTACTGGTTTACTCCCGTGTCTAATAAACGTGCGATTTATAAAAGTATATAACGTTTGAGTATAAAAACATTTTAAATTGAATCAATTTGATAATCACACAAGACGGTCGATATGTAATGGGGGCGATAGATGGGGGCCCTCTCAAAACGATGATTTTATTTTGTTCTTATCACCTCACTAGCTGGGTCTTTATGCTTAACATTGTAAACTGGGTATTTATTCTTACAATTGTAAATGATAACTATCATATAAAATACTATGTTACCGCCCGTGGCTTTGCCCATATTTCAAGCTATCTGCGCAAATTTCATTAAAATTACACGAACGAAAACGAAACAGACACACAAAGTGACTTTCGCATAATACACATTTGTATGGTCAATTTAGGATATAAAAATTGAAATAATTCATGGATCACTAATCGATTTCAATGTCATGATTTATAATAAGATTTTATCCTATTTTATTACTATAAGCTATTTTTATTAATATACTACTTGAGGAATGTTGTTGGCGAGAATGATTTTATTTATTTATTTTGTACAGATATACAATTTCATATGAACAAATGTAACAGACATTAGTACAAGGGCACTGCTTATTTCAAATTTAAATTTCTACTTTTACGTTATAAGAACCAAATTTTACTCAAGAATGATCGTCCAAATTTCCAAATTCACGAAGTGACTACTACGCTTCGACATTTCGCGAAGTTCGTGCCAACAATAGGAGTATGAAGAAAGATTTATAGCAATGGGGAGTCGGGGCACAACCCCGACTCATAGTTCTGGGATGATACCGAAAGTAGTCAGTGTGTACCTCCTAAATAAATTAATATGAAATATAAAAAACATTTTAGTGATAAGAATGTAAAATTCTACACTATAAATACTTCTCTACACAAAGTATTTATATGTTCCTGTTCATATTAACACCCACTTTAAATAATAGGTTCTCGTAAATCGATGTAATTTATAAAACGAATAGCTGTACACGTGGCAAGTAAACGTCACTAAGGCCAATGTGTGTCATTTACAGAAGCACTGACCATAAGATT